GTGGGTGGGTGTGTGTGTGTGTGTGTGTGTGTGTGTGTGTGTGTGTGTGTGTGCGTGTGCGTGTGCATGTGTGCGTGTGCATGTGCGTGTGTGCGTGCGTGCGTGTGGCAGAGATACACACAGAACCGCAGACTGACATTACTCCATACATTTCAAAGGATTACACTTGTCCAAGGTCATTAGGGTTACCGGGACGCAGGTTTCCCGAGGACAGGAGGGATTTTCCCTTTCATCAAAAGAGATTTGTTTGGTTTATCCTTCACAACACGCACACACACACACACACACACACACAGGACTAAAACACTTCATATGCCCAACTATCAAGACAAATACTGCATATTTGTCAGTTATGTGCATGGCCGGAATAGGAACTGCTATTCTTATTAAAAAGCCCAATAACAACTCCAAACACAAAGTAATCAAATTTTTCCAGAGCTGTGAATAAAATCACTGATAATATACATATAAATTAACCGCTTCAAGGTTACCAATTACTTTTGACTGGAACCTAGGATGTTTGCCACTGCTCAGCACCAGTGAACACAGTTTTAGAAGTAGCACTGTATTGTATGCAAGCACTAGTTGCAGTTACTATAAATGGGCATCAGAGGGAGCCATTTCTCTATCTAATCAGCGACCATCTTCTCACTGGAACACTCTTGGTCAGATCAACACAACTATAGCAGAGACGATCAATATGGACATATTTTAACGTTTAATTCAATGTTCATATATGAAAACAACTCTCCATATGACCACAGTAATCGACAATGCTGAATTAATACCAAAAGTATGTATGTTATTCTTGTTATGGTGTACCTAATATGTCCAGCATGTGTACGGTTCTGTTACCTTTCTTCAGGACGGACCCCGGCGAGCCCTGGAGGCCATTGAGGGCCGCAGAGGTGCCAGCCCCGATAGCGGACAGGTGCATCTTGGGAGGCGATAGGATGTGAGGGGCAGTGCTGGGCGACGGCGAGAAACGGAAGAGGCTGCTGCTGTAGCTGGGGCGGCGGCCCTCGCGTCGGTTGCTGTCGATGGCGGCCTGGAGCTCGCCCGGGGAACTAAGGCCCTTACGCTCGCACTCGTAGGGGTACAAATACTTCATGTACCTGCGAAACGAGATACAAATGCCAAATGGCTTGAGTTCAAATACATTCAAGGAGCTAGGTTAATAGCGTGTGCTTTAGCACTGCAGTAAGAGTACTCCACATACTGCACTTGGTTGCTTCTCGTAAAGTTTTACGATGAAAGCTAAAGCTAAAGCTGGTCTCCTTCCAGTAGCTACAGAAATAAATACGAAACAGCCTTGCTCTCTTTCACTGCAGACTGGAGAGACTGCGATGCGTCATGGTGCACTGTGCGTCTAAGTGTACAAAACATGCTGAGTGTTGCGCTGACGTCACGGAGTACATGCACAGTCACAGCTTCAGTGTTTTTTCTGCCATTAGAACGCAAGTTAAAATGAACGTGCAGTGTTATTATGTATGCTGACTGCATTACGGCGGATCAATAAGTCGCTAAGAGCCCCAGCATCCATTAGATAGAGCCTTCGGAGCACATTAAAAATACATGAGGCTTCATTAGGGCATCCTTATTAGTGGACAATGTGGTGTGACAGTCCATTCCAGCTTTTCTATCCGGATGGTGGCGGCACCATCCGAAGCGTTCTCCAGCTTCCAGCTGTCACTCAGGCGGCCACCTTAGTCACGGCGAACTCTGAACCTACACGATCAATAAATGAATAGTGATCAATCAATGTGATGTAATAGACGCAGGGGATTGGAAGTGAGAAGGCAAAGTGGCTCGGTGGAGGAGACAAATGGAGGCATGTGTACAAATACAGCGGGTGAGGCACGCAAACACACGCTTGTGGCTAAACTGCGCAACATGGGGCACGTGGGTCATACAGCACATGACCCGTGAGAGAATTTGATTGGCCCCGCATTGAAATGGAACTGCTAGAAAAAAATTGCATTTCCAATATAATTGTAAACAGCAATTCAAAGCCCAAGCTGTGGAATTTGCCCAAGATGGCAGACTATTTTCAATTCCGCACGTGAAATTTAGCACAACGCTCTGGCCACATTACATAGCTCAGGCAAAAAAGCTTGACAATTTAACACCAACCTCTCGAATGCCTCCTTCTAATTGGGGTGGATGTGGACAAATTCCATAGTGGGAGTTGTCAAAGCGCGAGCTCTGAAATTCGCCCAACACAGCCTACTTCCTGGTCAATTTTGGACTTGGGTACTTGACACTTTTCCGTTTCCTTTCATAATAGACGCATTAACCAATTTCGTATTGATTAATGAAATATCAGATATTTTTGTTGAACTTCCCAAAAATTGTTGAAATAATTATTGAACTTTGATGCCATGCTTTGGCCACAATGCATGGTAGAGTTAAAAATAAATAAATAAATAAATAAATTTATAAAAAAAATAAATAAATAAAAGCTTGGTCATTTTAGAGGGCATCTGCTTCTGACTGGGGCTGATTTGTCCAAATTCCCTTGTAGGATCCTGTCAAAGTACAAGGCCTGGAATTTACTCAAAATGGCTGCTTCAAACCAAAATACCCAACTTCCTCTTGATGTTTGGGCATAGCTCCTTGAGACTTTTTGGTGGCTCCTGTTGTGATATGATACCCAATTTCGTGTTGCTTGGTAAACCTGGGATCGGGGGGCAAAATCTTTTCAGTGGGTGATACTTCGTGGAGTTTGGAGGTTTTGGGGACTACGTTTTCATAGATGTTGCCGCCCTCAAAGGTGATTCATTGATGATAAACAGCGAATCTAGATGGACCTTCACACGGCCAGATGCCTGGGTCCTAATTATAGTTGAAGCAAATCACTTCAAGTTGACTGTAGAATGTGATGGAGGCTATTTTGCGTCTTACTGTGTGCGCAGGGTAAATGCGGCGCTGGTGATGGAGGTGGGCAAGTTGAGTCCCTTGGTGATCTCTCTCCAGATCTTCTTGTTGATGACCTCCACCAGGCCTCCCTTCTCCGTCACCAGCTTGTACAGCATGTAAAGATCCAGCACTTGCTTGGCCATGATGGGAATACGGTTGACCGGGGTGCCTGGTGTAGGGGGGGAACAAAAAAAAAAAAAAAACATACATGATTCCACGCCGTCTGGGTCGCCTAAGCGGGAAAGGTATCACGTGGTTGTAATATCAATAATTTCTTGTTTGCACATGCATTTGTGACAGAGTAGCTAGACAAGTTCTCCATTGTTGAGGCTTGTCAGCACTTAAAAGGGGGGCGGGGGGATGCAGCAAACAGTAACAGGCACAAAATAAGATGCATCTGTGATACAAAGATGATGAATTACACTGAAGATGGATTTCTGCAAGAGTGCATTATTGCAAGCCATCCACGTGTGCTGTTTTGTTCTGGCCACAAGCAATAATGACATTTTGAATTCTTAGTATATAGGGTATGGTGTATGGGAATTTGAACACAATCTTTAGGAGTTCACTTTTCACCCTTTCGTGCACCCTGTAACCCGATAACATGAAAAGCTGTCCACTGTAATAACTGCTGACCCTGAAAGGGTTAAAGGAACCCTATAAACGGGAAAAATGACTACTTCAAAGTAAAATGGCAGACCTTCTGTGTCTTTACATGCATGAGACTTTTTGGTGGATCTTCTCATAAAAGACAAGGCTATCAAATTTCATGTTTTGCGACAAACCGGATTTGGGGGCTGGGTTTTTCCCTCCCAACAATTTAGCGGCAGGTATGAATGATTTAAACTGGGTGGCAAAGGGACATTTTGAGAAGTTTATGTCTGAAGGACCCTGGGAAATGGCCAATATCAGATTGAGGATATCCATTGCGATGTTTTTTTGTTTTGCTTTGCCATGAATCATACGTGAAAAAAAATGGTAATGCAGGACATGGCGTAGGACAAGGTTGGCAATCAGGCTGGCATGTGTCTTGCACGCCTGTTAAATTTGGCTTGAAAACACATTAGCCCAGTTAAGGCAATCTGGCTTGACCTGGAAAAGGGGATTCGCAAACAACACAAAGCCGAGCAGCTCGAGACTTTTGATACAGATGCATTAATCTTGTCAACAGCTTATCTGCACTCAAGCATGAAGGAAGCGTGTGGTGAGGAGTGGGCACGGTCAGAAAGGGAGGTGAGGAAGGTATCGTTTATTCTTTTCAATTGTTGGCTCATTATTTTGTTAATTCTATTGAAAACAACGCAACCGGAGAGACAAACTGGGGGGACTCAAATGTCATGCCTTCCTCCTGAAGACTCACACTTTTGTTCTTCAAAACCAGGGATGTCAAACTCAATTTGTTCAAGGGCCACATCGTAGTTATAATCTAGTTTCCCTCAGCGGGCTGTTATGACTGAAAACCATGTCAACGTACATTCTAATCATCAGATTATTCCAGAAATATTACCCAATTGCCCCTGGAGTTCATTGTTAATATATCCTGTTGACAACACATTTAATTTGAAATCAGAGTTCGTGCGAAACGTAACTCCAAAGTGGCCCGCGACTAACAAGAGTTTGACACCCATGGTCTAGCATGATTGTTATGTATCTTAACTAATGCTTGTGACCAAAGTTCTGGCCCACATAAACTTTACCAATTAAATATTAAAAGCAAATTCAGTTCTGTCACGTTTTTCTATTTTGTAGTAATTATTTGTACACAAAAAGAAAAAAAAAACATTTAAAAAAAATCTGAATACCGATCATTCAATATAGTTTTCAGTAGGATATCCGAATATAGAAAATTTGATAACTCCAGCCCTAATAGAGATAAAAATAGTTTCCGTACTATGTACAAAACTATGTACTGTATTATGTACAGAATCAAAAAGTGCAACACATCTAATTAAGTATGGAGGGAGGAGTCGTTGAGCGGGGGGAGAGGGGGGCAGCAACCCTCTAATCCACAGACAGCAGTGGGTGGAACCTGCGGGATAGTCCAGTATAATGAAGCTCATTTAGAGGATTGCGGCACTAAATCCACACACCCGAGGCACACGTACAAGGCCACTCGTACGCAGAGTTGCTCGGCCCGGTTAATTCCCGTCAATCCTTCAGCCCCTTAACTTGGAATTGGACTCATTAATGACTTTGGCGAATAGCAGCGATCAGGCCATGCAGATTAGCCCTGATTCATTTTAGCAACATGTCTTTAAGCCACGTGCAATGGGGGCGACGTGGGCAAATGGACCTGCCTCAGAGCAGGAAGTCTAATTCAGAACTCTACGCTTGATTCTGGACTCAAGGGTCTGGATGCGCGGCACTGTTTTTCAACGCCAACTGCATTTGAAACCATTGAAATGGTGTGTGGAAGTGGATGATTTGCAAATTGACATTGGCGGACTCACGTCGTGTCCACTATTCCGCTGTAGAGAAAAGCAGTATATCCCATGATGCATTGCGACAACAGACAATGGTGATTCAAATAATGTTCTCATTTGACAAGATTGTCATAGAGTGTCAACAGACTGCAATCCCGTCTAAAGGCAAACGCAAACAGATGTACGAGCACAATGTTTACATGCTTGTTCACATGCATGTCATGTGAAGTGACGGCAGGCAAGCATTTTCTGGCATTGCTCTTTCCTCATTGTAGGGGTCAACAATGGGGCGTGTACAGCACGTCATAGCAAATACACAGTCAACAGAATGGGAGGTGTTGTCAGGGTGTGTCAAAATAAGGCCTGCGTGACGAGCATACAGCAAAAACGCCAATCAGACGAGCAACATGTTTGACCAGGGGTGTCAAACTCATTTTTGTCGCGGGCCACATTGTAGTTAGGGTTGCCCTTGGAGGGCCGTTATGAATTTTGGGAAACCATATAAATGTTTAATCCCCTCCACATATTACATACACAGCACACAACAAATTGATGAATAACTAGTTTTAAAATCAGAGGTCAAGAATAATGACTGCTACTGTGGATTATATGTGACAATTTCAAATGTTGGTTCAGACTTTAACAAGCATCATGGAACTTGACATGCATGATTTGTTTTCGCGGGCCACATAAAATGATGTGGCGGGCCAGATCTGGCCCCCGGGCCTTGACTTTGACACCTGTGTGTTTGACCATCAACATTTTCAAAACAGTTGACCGTTGTAATAATTGTAAAATAAGGCCTAAACGTGAACTGTGAGAGATGACGTATAAGGACAAAAAGTATATGTTTGCACCAAAAAAACTAATCGTCTTAAGAAATTTGGTTTTAAAATAGAATCATTTCCAAATATGCAGTTGAACACAAAGAAGCAAATTTGGAGAAAACTTTCGAATAGATTTAGTCTTTTAAGAATACTGTTTAAAAAGCATTTTTAGAGCTTTAATGACTAAAGTGGGTCACATGAATCTGTGAACATTTATGGTGGAGCAAAGGTACCAAAAATAACAGACGGTTTAAGATAAATGGCGACAGTTTGACCTGTATTGTTTCATTGTCATGATTTCCTATGGGGGGGAAAAAATTGCTTTCAACATTCAAATAAATGCAAAGTCGAGCAAAGTGTGTTCTGACATGGAGGTGAAGATGTTTACTGTCTACCTCACGACGAAATAATTCAGACCTGGCAATAGCAACGCTGCGTATGTGGTGGCACAGAAGCTTGCCGTCGAGGTGTTGGTGCCGCTGGGTTCACCAAAGCTGCAGATAAATGTGGCAGGGGAAACATTGGTCTAATCTGCAAAGCCATTTAACGTGAGGCAAAACAAGCGTGCCAGCTTCTTTTGCAAACAGATACTGAGACAAGTACGTAGCGTCATCCTCTGAAAATCACGGCCCAGGTCATATTTGGACAAAATGTTTCTTGGGCCTTAATAAACATCTCAAAATGCTGACCACCTCTGCTGAAATCGGCGACATCCCAGTCGATTCTACCCCAAAGTTAATTTTTTATTTATTTTTTTGTATATACATACAATATAACCAGTATTTGGTTTGGTTTTTCGTGTTTTCGGAAAGAAAAGGGAAAAAAAAAGACTTAAGCCACATTATTTTAGGAAGGTGGCACCTATGGAGTAGGGCAAGTTGATTTAGCTCATTCACTGTCAGCCATTCGAGAGCATTTGGACTTCTCTTTATGTATTTATTTATTTTTGTAATCGGCAAAACATAAATGACAGATACAGAGTCCGCCTCACAGCATGTAAAATGCCTGTTGAACTCCTCCACTTGGGGCAGGATCTCATCCCTGACCTGGAGAGGGTAATCTACCCTTTTTCGACTGAGGACCATGGTCTCAGATGTGGAGGTGCTTATTTTCAATCATTTTTTTAATTTTGCACCATCGGTTTGTTATGTACAGTGACTACGTATTGCGATTCACTTCCCTGTATTGTTGTTCAGTCTGTCACCTGGTGGCAGCGGTGAGGCATCAGATGGAGGAGTGAAAGCTTTTGGCCATCAAATCAAGCTTATCTGTACATGCTGTTATCTGCACATGAAAAAAATGATAATGCGATGGTATAAAAAGGGACATGATAAAATGTTATCTTCGCGATATATAGTGTCATATCGCCTAGCTCTAAGATGGAGTGACATGACACGGAACACGAGTGTAATAGGAGATTGTACAGAGCTGGATGGCTACAAATGCTGCTACGACACATCCCCGCAAGGCCTGAAAATATTTTTTTGATTGTCTTTTTGCCACGTTTCCAGAACACGGAGCAAAAGTGTTGGGTGTCACTTATTTGATGCAGCATCAAGCCCACATCAAACAATTAGTACAACCAGCAAGGTCAGAGATCAGCCAGGGGTTATTGATGTGTGAATTAAAGTGCAGGTCAGCAGGAAGCCATGTTTTCAAGCCGCAACAATGAGCCCACAACAAAGAGTGCTTTGCCCCCTAACACCAAACCCCTCCACGCCCCCCCCCTGACGTGGTGATGGCCTGGCCAGCTGCTAGTGAGGCCACAAACAGCTCGCGCCACACTTCACGTGTACAAAGACAGATGTGTTTTTAAAACAGGACCTCAGTCAATGAAGTTGTTGTCCCATGAAAAGCATGTATGTCACTATTTTAGAGCGATGTCAAGACAGATTCAGCACCAGGGACATCAAGAACGA